GTCATTATATTCAAGTGAAATATAATATGAAAAATACACCTGATTATCTCCATCGTTTTTGAGTATAATATATAGATAATATCGTGTTTCTATTTTATCAAGTACTGCGAGCAAATGAATTAATGTGAAAAAAAAAAGTTTTCAAAATATGATTGGAAATAGAATAAAATTAACCTAACATAATGACCTTTGCGAACATATAAACGTTCTTATAATGATGTACAATTATTAATACTTTAATGGCTTATCGGTGTTATTGGTAATGGCTAATCTACGATGAATGATATGTATAATGTAATATTAAATATATAATAACTACAGAACGATCAGGTGACTAATAAAGCCCGCCGTTCGAAACACATCTATCAAATATAGTCATGGCATGTACCATTGCGATTGAGTTGTTTTTATGATAACTGTGAATTTAAATAATATAACTAATAATTATAAATGGAATCAAAGGGTGTGCACAGGATGTAGCGCTTAACGTATGATAAAATTAAAAATACATAGATCATTTCGTACCAATTAGATGGCACTGTCAAATAGAATTCTAATGTTTACCTTAAAAACAATACGAAAAAAGCACACGCTAAATAAATAATTTTAAATAATAAAAAAAAAAAAAAAAACATTGTTAAAAAATCGGAAAGTGTTCATGTTCATTGCTAATGGATGATTGTAATGCGACACTGGTTTTCTTCTGTCTATCCATTTATTTCACTCATCCGGAAAACATTTCGCGTGAAATTCAATTGTACAACGACAATCCAATATACTTAAAGTAAAACCATTGCCTGTAACGTTAATCTCTTCAGGTTTTTATTAGGTATTTCAGCTAATGAAACTATTTATTTCTACGTCGTCTGTATTATTTACTATTATACAGCTAAACGACGGTACACACATTATAATGGTTATACATATTATAATACATAGATATAGTGTACGAACTTTAAAGACTCTCAATTAATATTTTTCTTATTATTTATAAATTTAAAATTACGAGTGTAATTAGATATATACGATGTATATTTTTGTTGTCATATTTTTTGTTTTATTTATTAACGCATTTTTGCGTTTTGACATCTTTTTTTTTTTTTGTAATATGTATACATCTATAAGTAAAAAAAAGTAATTTACTACCTTTTTCATTTTATTTTTAAGTTTCTCCAAAAATGAAAAATGAAAATATAACTATGGGTACATTCTTAGTATATTTTTATCGTTAGAAATGTTCTATTTGTATATGCTATAATAATATTATTCATATTCAACTAGTTTATACATTTTACCAAACCAATATTTCATACATTTTACATAGGTAAAGTCAATAAAAAAAAAATTAACAAAATATAATTGTTCGCTCAAATTCATAAAAATAATGATTTATTTATGGTTTATAAATTATAATACTCTTATTATGATATTGAAAATTTTGAGATACATTTTAAAGTCTCACCCATAAACAAAATGTCGCGTTTTGTACTTGACAATATTACTCAAAATATTTTATGTACATGTTGTTATTGTAATATATCCAAAATAATAAATATTTATTTATTTATCCATGCGAATCGTTTTATAAAAATTTATTGATTACAAATCTTAACAATACCTATTTAAATAATTTTTAAACCGTTTTTCTTAAATAATTAATAACACAACATATTACTTATTGTTTTCTTATCAATATATGTAAATCATATTATTTTTATTTTAAATTTCAACTGTAATTATAATCATTGGTTAATACAGTGAAACTTGTATAATATGGAAACAATTGAGGCCAGATATTTTTTTCCATTTTAGACAAGTTTCCATTTAATAGAAGTAAAAAAATAAAAAATTAAAAATGTATTACTTGTTTTTATATTTACATATTATATACCAAAAGACTGTCTTCTAAAATTCGTTTAATGTTTTTTTTTTTTTTTTTTGTTAAGTAACCTGCTTTTTCTTTTCTACTAATTTTATTAAATTGAGAATTGATTCCACAAGTTTATTTGTATTAAACTGTACTTACCATTTATCACATAGTCGGTCAATAAATAGAAGAAAACGTGTCAAATGGCAGCTACGAGATAACGGAGCTTTACATTTTCTGTCATATTTTTATTTTATATTCATAAAAAACGCTGTAGATGTTTATGTAAGATGATATATTTATTGTACTTTAAAACATTTTTTTTTATCTTTGTGAATACATTTTTCTAATTTTCTTAAACAGTTTTCAGAAAGAAAAAAAACTTGTATAAAATATAAGTTTAAGAATCTGTGGAATTTTGACTTAAAGCGACTTACAATTACTACGACGGTCACCAAACTTTTACGCTTTACTTGAGTGATGTTTAATGTAACACGCATGGTTTTCTTCTATACATCCATCGTTCTACCCAGGCAAAGTTGTCTGAAGTGTGTTTACTCTCTCTCTCACTCTCCCGATAAATTTTTACGTCTGTTTGGTTGGTTATGTGAAGCGGTCGAAAACTTTTTTCTCTTGGCCTCATCCGTAGAGCCTTTCGAAACATCACACCCCCTAGGGTCCGCGTTGTCAATTCGTGTCATGTGTGTGGCAAATTTCATTTTCAGTAAGAAAGAAAAAAAACTCCCTCTCACCCCATTTCACCACGGAACTCCCCAATACTCGCTCAACCCCTACCCTAATTGTGTTCCAATAATCACTGAAATTCAGAAAGCGCCTCGGAGTTTTCGTATGCTCACAAAGCGCACCTTATACACACACACACACACAATATAATTTATATATATATTTATATAATAAATATATAATGCATGTATATACATATTTTCATATACCGCTGTATACGCATGCACAATAACAATAATCAGAAGATTTTCGTGGTTATTATTATTATTAGGTACCTAATATTATTTCCGGCCATCGTGACCAGCATTGAAATATAGCTATTAAATTATATACCTATCCAGTAAAATTTTATAAATGTGTGTGTGTGTGTGTGTGTGTAACACATTGTGACCACCGACAATACATTCAACCGACATAGATTATTATAAGATATAGCAAATAACATATTTCTTGAGAAATATTATATTATCAGAAATGATCATATAGGGTTAAAACTTGTATCCAGGTTTGATAGTGGAGAGACCCACTATAATCAATTATATGGGTTTCGGTCAATAAAAGTTTGACTGTTTTTTTTTTTTTTTATCAATTCATACTTAATATACTTGTATGTTTAGAAAACTATTAGATATAATTGATATAAACATTAATTTTACAAATAGCATTTTTTTTTTTTTAATATTGTTATTGTTATTTTGTAGGTATAATTCTTATTTCATAATAAATTTGACGAGTTGTTTTATAAAATGCTTTGACATTAACAACAGATCCCCCAATACGAGTATATTATAGTCTATAAATTCATTGAAAATATTTCGCAACTTAAAATACCTTTGTTAGAATGCCTTTAAATAGAAAAATTTATGTATGAACATAACACTTACAAAAATATATACTTTATTATTACTATGCACTTAAATTTTATAATTCGTTTATGTAGATATAATATATTTTAGAAATATACAAATGTACGCGTCAATTGTTTCGCGACACGATCGGCCGAATATCAATCCCCGTGATACCCACATATCTACGCAATGTACGGATCCTCCTCACATATGGGCGTATGTACAGCCATGTAGGAACTGAAACCCTGTCGTTGCGTGTTAATAATTTAGCTCGTATGCGCGCGTACTATACACAACAGGGAAATGAATACGAAACGGACTGATCCCGGAATCGCGTTTCCACCCAACATTGAGCACACACACACCGTATAATGATATTGGTTCCGTGTTCCGAGACGTTTAACGGAAGTGCTTCGGGTCGCCCGACTCGCAATATTGCATTACGATCGATATATGAGGTCCCCCGCGTATATGTGTACAACTGTCCCCATATTTTATCTGCTATACCCGCCTCTTGTCCGGATAAAACGACCTTTTTTTTCTATTTCGATTAATAGTGAATGGAAAGCATTACTACTATGTTCCGGTGATACACAAGTATTAACCAGTGGTGTATAATGTAAAATTATTATATAAATTATAGACTGAATAAACACTTAATTAAAAAGCAAGTATATATATATATATATATATAAAGCATATCTAAATAATAAAAATCGGACATAGGTACTAATTCATATGTGTGTGTGTGTGTGTGTGTGTGTGTGTGTGTGTGTGTGTGTGTGTGTGTGTGTGTGTGTACTTATTGTACTTCGTGTGTATGTTAATAATTTTATTATGAAAGAGAAGTACCATGTGACACGTACCTATTGCTACACAAATATATTATTAACACCGTCGTTTATAAGTATGTGCCTATATAATAATAGTGTAAACACTCCAATGCTTGATTTATTATATATACTTTTTTATCGTTATTAAACGTACTCGATTATGAGTATAATTATTAATCTATTAATCCATGGTTACAATTAACAACAAAAACAAGTGTGAGACTTATGAAATATTTTTTTTTCTTATAATATGAATGTCTACCGTGTACATCAGTTTTACATACTATTATTCTTGTTTATTTCGATGATTTATCATGTCTAATCATTTGAAATAATCACCAATCGTGTATCAAAATTTTAGTAAATTGACTTGCAAACAATGTACCTGTACAACTGTATCCATAACATTATCTGTGTTGTGTAAAACCTCAACAGTGTTTTTCTAGCATTTATCTCGATTATAGCGTTACATAAATTCATATCTCTTATCTAGACGCGCAGACCCATATTTTTCAATTTGAGAACGCATGGGTTTGGAGCTAAACATATTATGTATTATATACATGAAAATATGTATTGCATTTCGTTCGATTTAGAAACGCAATAACTATACAAGCGCATAAAGAATTTTTTAATCAATTTGTCTGTTTCCAATACATAGTGTTTCCAAAAGAATTGTGCTCATAAATATTTCCTTTTATGTTTCAGACGCAATATGCGAAAAACGTAGCCTCGACGAGCTGTGCGGAGAGATTACCAGTGACGCTCCACTCTACTCCATGTTTAGGGTAGATGCCACTCCAATCCCGTGCCCGTTTGATGGCTTACAAGCGCCGTTTCATTTCTCGTATAGCCGCGGTGGTTACACCGAATGCAAGTGAGTAAACTTTATAGAACTATGTTTTGTGGTTATCTGGTTATAAGTTCTTGTTAAATACTCCTATTGATCGAATTATTATTATCGATATATTAATTATTACCTGCAGTGCCAACATCAAATAAATCGTGCTCGCCAATAAATAATAGACTTCGCATAGTCATACATTATCCAATCTATTTTATTATATTTAGCACAATTTTTTTTTTTAAATAATTATAAACTATAAAATAAAATAAATTTACTATTGTTAATATGAATTGAACTCTAATTTATTTCACCAATAATAATATTATCAAAGTAAATAATTATGTTCTTATAATGTATTAATAATCTCTTATGGTATTATTAGACGTGTAACTAAATAAAATATTTTAAACATAATCTTTGACTGTAGTATGTAGATGTCATATTAAAATAGTTAAACCATTATAAAATATTGAAAAAATAGCATAATTACTGAAATTAAACACTTGTTGAAACACTAAAAATCATCGTATGTTGTAGGTCGCCGGTTTCAAAAGCTGATTCGTGTACGTCAGATTCAAGGTTGATGCTTAAGTTTCAAGCTTGCCCAGATGTCCTTAACACCGAGAGCACAGGTAAATAATTTAAGGCATTCCAAACCTTCGTTAGCGCTGTTGTCCCTCGTCCTCTCGCCAATCCTGCTGTACCCATATCACTGACGAAATCCGCGTATGCGTTAGTTCTCCCTTGATACTCTCGCACACACACATATATATATATACTCATCCAATAGTAGTTCAAATCGATGCTGACAGGCCATGTGACAGATTTATTGAAACAAACCGTCAACTAAACCGCGTTTCGCCGCCTTGTCGGTCGAGTTTATAACATGTGTCAAACATAAAAGCCCCGCAGACCGGGGCGGTGTTTTTTGATTGACATCCGTGACAGTTAACAATGCCGGAGAAAAGCATTATGGCTTTCGTAACGATTCGATAAGGTCAGTTTTTTTTTCCACCCGAGCGTTTATTGTTCAGCCGGGTAATAATAAATTAAAATTTTTAAAACCAGCTCTTATGAAAAATGAATAGATAGAAACTGTTGTGTATGTATACTATATACAAATATATATATATATATATTAATGAATCGACGTTAATAATATTGTCTGCATTGCACATAAAGTAGTGAAGACTATACAATTGTATGTGTACAGAGTGTGTAACGCAAGGATTTGACAGTTGAACGTTGTGATAGCGTTTATAATTGTCACTTCGATACACACTGTATACGAATGAAAAAAAAAACATTGAATAGAAATCCCCTAGTAACTTGAATGCATAAGGTCTATAGTTCGTTCTTAAGTATTGTCTCACACATTTTATAAACGTTTCGATATTTTAATATGAAAGGCGCGCCTATATTTAATCGTTTGATGTTTTACACGGATTGAGAGTAAAATACATTTATAAAAATGTCTGGAATTCTTATGTGTAACAAAAAAGAAAAAAAACAAGTTACACGTAGTGTAAAAGTTATATGATTATACGTCACTTGTTTGTTTGTTTTTGTATATTGTGTACCACTCAATAATGACTAAATAAAATCAATTAACTATAATTATATTTACGTACATAGGATTTACGTTAATGTTTAAAGTGTATTACTCATGTTCTGTGTATACTCATTTAAACGAAGTATAAAGTATGACTTTTTAATTGTTCACAAATCACGTGAAAAATAAAATGTTATGACCATTTGCATTTAATTAGCATGTAAAAAATTCGCAAGTTAATCTATATTGCTATGTATTATAACTGCAAAAATGCGGTACTTCAACAAGAAAAAGGAATATCTGTTATTATTTATGATCACTATACTACTATGTATAATTACAGCTTAATATTTGCATTATTAAAATGTAATACCTACCTACCATCTTATGTTTGTTATAAAAGGGATTCGATTATTATTTATTTATTTATAATAAACCATCTAAGTGTCTTAGAATATTAAATTGATATTAAATATTTGTACTCTCCTGAACTATAGCTACTTCTCACGATCACAAAACCTTTATTTTATAGATCAAACGAGATTTCTCTCAAAATAATATTTTGTTTACTGAGCTGTACTAAAATTAATATTAAAGTTAAACAGAAAAGTTCTTTTAGTTGCAAAATAATGAAGTTATTCAAATAATAATATCATGCTTATTTTTGGTTTGAAATTATAATAATAAAAGCCTGACGAAAATATAATATCCAAACTTAACAATCTTCGTGATTCATAATTGTAACAGTTATTTTTTGTAGCTAAATTATTACTCTTATTTTTATATTGCTTTTGCTTTATTAATATATTTTTACATTAGCTATTTGAGGTTGATAGTATATAAAAAGCCAGTATAGGTAAGAGAATTTATGACCCCAGATTTATTTATTGTTATTTTAAAGCATATCTTGTTATATGTTACCAAATAGATTTAACCGATTTCGGTACGTTTTCTCGACCAGTAATCGTCGTTACACTAAAAAGTTTCAATGAAATATTCTCGACGTGTTCAATCGAGCTAGACAGATTTTCGACCAATGTGTCGGTATAGAACGTGTAAAATTTATCAAGTTGTATTTGTTTTTTGGAATCCAGTCATATATACCTCCACCAGTCCTCCTTCCATGCGTAATCCATCATCGTCGGTAATCCGTTTAAGGGAAAAACTTTTATTACTTAGCTCCCCTCGTCCCTGGCCACATTTTTAAGCCCTTCTTCCCCCACCCAGATGCCCCTTGTTATTTCATATTTGAGTGTACGTGTGTTATTTGTTATTATTTTTACCGTCCTATGTAATGATTTCCGTCCTGAAATTCCACATAAAACGAGGGATTTGTTATTTTTATGTTCACTCCGTGATTATATATCGTTTCGTCTTGGTAGTGGCGCACGCTAAATCCCACATGTGCGTGGGCGGCGCTCACGTTGATCGATCGTATTATGTTTGTTTGTTTCTGTTGCTGTTTACACAATCAAACCATTTTGCTGCGTGGCACTCACAACCTAATGCTGATTGTAAATTAACAAAGATAACAAATAGTTCTACTTGTTGCTTTTTAATCAGTCGTCAAAAGATCCTTTTCCCACTAACTAACGTTATCTATATAATGTTTATACTTTTTTTTTCTATAATCACAATTGGGGGAAGGTACTGTGTTTAGCATGACTTTTCTCCCGATCGCATCATTTATTGTGGCGTACTTGAATTCACTTAAACTATGATTATTTGTTTTCTAAAATGTGAATTTTTAGATGTTTTGAAAAGTGTACTGTATAATAGTAGATAACACACTCAATTAATTTAACCCTAAATATTAGTAAACGATATAATATGTGAATTTTTTTTTTTTTTTTTAATGTATACAACGATATTATGACGGTAATAAAAGTATATTTAATTTTATTTAAAATACCTTTTAGAAGTATTTTTAATTGTCCTAACCTAACTTCTATAAAAGAAAGAGAAAGATTAAAAAAAAAAAAAAAAACGTAATTTTTTACCGGTTATTCTCACCATAAATTTATTTTTATTATAGTTTATTGGTTTGACAATACTGCAGTAGTTTTTATATTATTATTATTTTTATTACTATAAAATCTTTCATAATTTACATGACATGGATATTTACATTAAATTATCTCATTTAATGTAAGTCTTTTCAAACGAATATGATAGATATTGGCTGAGGTGGGAGTGTCGAAGATAATAGTCTACTAACTCTTTATTATTATTATCCAAGGTTGTATCACAAGTAGATAATAAAGCACCCTGGGCATCAGTCATTGTCGACAATAATACATGTCAAGCCCTCAACCACGTCGGCTAACTTCATATATTATTCAAGTGAACCACAAAAACGAACTTAAACAAAAGTTTAAAATGTATATCTATTGTCTTATGTTTATATATAATATATATATATATATAATTTTTTTTCATTATTTTGGTAAACTAAGGGTTTTGTTATCTCGTCAAAATTCCGTAAATTCGTGCCTTGAATATTACACCAAAATATTTAGGAAAATCTAAAAATATTGACTCAACCTAGCTAAACTCAAAACCTTAAATATGTCAAAAATGTTTTCTATTTTTTTTAATGGATTTATTCACTAGATTATGTAGATCATATCTTCTTACTTTACACTTTACAAAAATAATTAATAAAATTTGTAAAGGTTATGTTAAAAAGAATTATTGTTAATATACGGATATCATTAATAAAACCTATCTTAATTCGAAGCCTAAATGCGTATTTTTTAATTCATCATAAATATACAGCGATTATTATATAAACATTAAATAGTTTTAACTCTTGACCATAACTTATAATTTATTCTATGAACAATAATTACTGATGTATAATATCTTTAAATCAAATTCGTTTAATAAGTTTTATTTCAATTAGTTTTTGCCAAATACCCAAAGATTTAATTATTTGCAAACTTAATTTTTAATGAGTTTTGGGTTTTATTTTTATCTTTAATATATCGTCAAAGAGACTGTCGTATAGATTTTCTTTAACTATACCCAAAAATTAGATTATACTTTTTTATCATTCTATCACTATAAATATATATAATTATTTTATATTCTCGAAAGTAAAATCTCGTTTGGAAAGTTTTTAAGTTTTATTTTTATTCAACCTTTAAGCTGCTTTTAATTTTATCCGATTTACTTCTCACACAGACATTAACTAATAGTTAATTACAATACAAATTGTATTTAAATCTCTTAAGATTTATTATAATATATTAAATTTTTATAATTTTTGTTACATGAGTTTCTTACAAATTATACGAATAAGAATAAAATAACCTGCACGATTAATCAACGTTATATTTTTTTGTAAACAGACCACGTTTTCTTCCAAACCATTTGAATTAGATAACCCATATCGAACAAACTGTCTTTCTTCCATATTGTCCAAAGAAAATAATTAGTTTATTAAAAAATAGAACATCTTGACGATACTGTTCATCATTAACCTTAAGTGTAGGTACCCAAATTTAAAGTAGTTTTATTAAACATAATATACGTTTATAAAAAATTAAATCAAATTAAACATTATTGAACAATTGCATTTATTATTGTAAATAAATATTGATTATCTTTCAAAATATGTTTAATTTTAACTAGCTTCTATAATGTGTTTTTTATAATATTTATTACTTGAATTATTTGAATTTTATCTATTGTTATATTATGTACCTATAAAAAATATAAACTAAAATAATTAAGAACACCCAAAGCATTTTGATATTAAATTATAAAAATTATAAAATTATATCCATATATTTAAAATGAAAAATTCAAATTATAACAAAACATAAACCTATTTAAATACAAAATTTTAACAGTTTTCCATTAGAAAAAGTGTTTGTTGTTGGTAATAAATTTACTTAAGTACACACAATTCACGTAAATACGGCTTGCACAGAACCGCCACTCTAAAATGTACTTATACCACTTTATTACAAGTATTTTTACTTTTGTAACCACTTTAAATAATTATTTTAATAATAATAAAAACAAAAATATACATAATTAATATTAATATAAATGCCAATAAAAGTAATAGTT